TGACAAAGACTTTACCACTTCCAATGACAAATCAACCTAGGGAAAACCTTGCAGTAGACACATGTACGCGTTGCGTACCTATTTTTTAATGTATACTAACCTGCGTAGCACAGTCGGGGGAACAAGTACCAGTTGATCCGGGACAGTTACTATGCAGCATGACGTATTTGCTGGCGCGATTGCTTTCGGAGTACTTACTTGTGAGTGCTCGCGCTAGTTTTTGATTGGATAAAAATGATTGCCGTTTGCAGACACTTCCATTGCAAAACTGGCCTTCGTGAAATGCCGTGTAAAATGTGTAGCATGTGCGACAGACAACAAAATGTCTCGGTATTGAAGACCACTGATTAGGAAAGTAAAAGAAGGGATGGGGTATTTTCAGAAAAAAAATTATAAATTTTTCTATGGTTAGGTCAACATGACAAAATGTTCGGGGTAACCTCACATCCAGGGGGAGTAGCAATACTCCTAGTCACTTCATGCTACCGGCTTGTGAACAACAGGCCCCTGGATTGATCACTGGTGATCAATCATCATTAACAAAACTGTCATCCATCGAGATGGTTTGTGTGAAATAAGACAACTTACGATATTACTCTTACCTTGGTTCTGCTGTCTGTGAAAATAGCAAAACAAAATACTCATTTAGTAAAAGCTCACATCATTATCACATTACTGGACTCAGTCATAGGATATTGATTTATCCTGTGGATAGCGATATCTATCCAGTGGATAACATAGTGACTAGTTTGTTTTGTTATAACTTATCCATTGGATAGTGATTTATCCAGTGGATAGATAGTACTAGTGTTAACCGCCCTTTGAACAACTGTGCCCTATAAATTGAAAGAATGCTAAGAGATTTTTCCCATTACAGTACATGAAAACAATTCGTAATCTTCGTTTCCTAGTAAACTACTTTCCAATGGAGGCTAATGGTTGGTTCTTATAAAATGGGGGTTTAAATGCCAAACGTTTAGCCTACAGTTTCTTAATCACTATAGGTTCTTACAGGGCTCGAAAAAAATTGGAATTCCAGCTTGCCCTTTGGACAAGCAACTCTCAAATTTTGCTTGCCCGGGGCACCTCCCCACTTGCCCAGGTTCTCAAACTCATTAATTATTCATGAAACAAAGAAAACGAAAATACACTGGTTAGGCCTTCAGTTTGGCTCTCTGTTCTACCTATGTGTACTGTAATGTGTTTTTGGTTTAATTTACTTCCAAAGTTACAAACTGGTTTGCAGGGTTTAGTTGCCCCTAAGAAAAATGTCTGTGCTTGTGCCTCTCACCAGAGACACAATCTATCGGCATACATGACGTATTCAATGGTTTGCACGGCTTGCAATGCATTTTGGGGCGATTTTAAAACATGGCCGCTTGTGGAGCCGAAAGAATCTTTGTTGACGTGTTTTGGCCTATATTTCTCTTAATGAAAGCAAAACAAGACCAGATAAATTGTTTTTTAACTTTAATTTATTCTGTGACTGATTTTATGGCAAAGTTAGAACTGAAAAAAGCAGGTTTCCCAGCGAACGGTAAGTTTATCGCGCACACAGTTGTTTGTAGGCGTCTCCTATTTCAGCCTATTTCCTTGTAATTTTCGTCAAGCTTCATCTAAAACCCTTGATTACCCCGACCAAATGTGCTTAAAATTTACTGTTTTGTTTCACAAAATCGTCATTTTAACAATGTAGTTGGCAGAAGGCTTGCCTGGGCCCTTGCCCGTCGGGCAAGTGAGCAGAGAAAGTTACTTGCCCGAGAGGAAAATCTACTTGCCCCGGACGACCGGACGGGGGTTTTGTCGAGCCCTGTCTTATATGTGGATGTTTACTGTACCTTATTCGGTTGTGGTTCAGTGGGATCCGTCTTTTGAATAGACATAGAACTGGCAATCGAGCGATCAAATGGCTGAAGATTATCCGTGTAAGACGATCCACTGGAAAACACATAAAACAAAAATAAATAAATATGTCAATTATAGAACTACTGCTAGACAGTGAAGTCTGCCATTACTAAAGAAACTCTCATAAATTATAGTGTATCATGTAGGACTACAGTCGATTTGAAACTGCCACAACAAGACAAGGTGTGCCTGCAATGTAGCTTCATATTGAGTATACTGTTTTCGCCTTGTATGATCATGGAGGGCATAAACAAGGTAGGCAATCATCCACAAACCCCAAGGAGTGCTGTCCCTCACTTGCCACCAAAGGGGTCAAAATGGACTCTCACTTTGAGTGTGATGCATACTGCTGGGTGCCAGACGGTAAAAGGGGGGAGGGAGGAGAGGGACTCTACAGTTTTATATTTGGAGCCTGTAGCCCAGGGCGTTTCTCTCCATGATACAGTCATTAAATGTAGATGCTCACTCATTGGAGCCCTAAGGTAATGCAATAGGGCATTGGGCACGTTTTTCTGGATGGAGCCCTGTATTTTAAAAGCTTGCGTCCTGAAGCCCTATGACCCCTTAGGGACCCTGGACGTGTGAGCAGTCTAAGTACAACTGGCCAAAATAACATTTTTGTATACCAACCTGATAACCACCTTGTTATTATAACTCACCCTTGTCTACTCTCATCAAATGTGCTTTTTCTTGACTGGGCAAACATGTCAAATTCCTCATCTTGGTCAGGAGTGGTGGGTGCAATGTCTGGGTACAAGAAATAAAACGAGACACTGTGTGATTAAATAATATTAACCAATAATAATTGACTCCTGGGTTTTTCCAAAAAACGGCAATCTAACACCACAGATGCCTATTTCTGGCCATTATCTCGACAGTTTATAGTCCAAATGTCTAAAGCTTAGTTTGCAACATGGCAACTAACATCCCCTTCTACTTTGAGGCCAGTAGTTCAAAAACATTTTCTTTGGGCATGCGCAAATCAAAATTTTGATGGATAATCCAGCATTGAATCAAAGGGATCACTTACTCATGGATTGCACCTGAGAGGTCACGCTATTGACTGAGGGAGCCTGGGAAGGAGCCGGCTGCTCATCGTCAAAACTAATCAATGAATCTGCGACTCTGAGAAACAAAACAAAGAAAAGAAAAATAACATTTATAAGGTCAGAGCCTGGCAGAATGTTCTAAAAGACATGGTACTACAGTTGAACCTCTAACAACAACACCTCTTATTATGTAATCTTTTAATGACATTACAAGAAGGTTAATTGTTATAGGCGGACATGTCTTGGCCACTACACACTTCCCCTTAAAAAAATGTTATTTCATACTTGCTCTGTCCTCTTTCTTTTTTTTCCTTCTTCTTATGATTGTTAATAATTTATTGTAATCGAAATAAGTGTGAATAAAAATGAACTGAACTGAACTGTAAAGGCCCGATCAAACGGTCTCAACATTCTCTCAACATTTGTTGAGTCATGTTGAGAGATGTTGCAACATGTTGAGAAGATGTTGAGACAAAGGGAGTGTCAAATGGCCTCATCGGCTCTCAACAAATGTTGAGAGAATGTTGAGGCCTTAAGTGGACTATGTGGAAAGAAATGATGGTATATTTGTTCCTGGCCCCATGCATACATGTACTACATTATTAACCTCCCATAAGCAGTCACCTCTCCTAAGTGGACACCCAATCGTGGCCCTGGCCACATCAAATAAGCAGACACCTCTACTACATGTAAGTGGAATCTATGTCATAGTCTTGGCCCTGACTTGTCTCCAGCCGTCCTCAGTCCCCTATGAGAGAAATGCGACCGTCTTGGGGACTAAGGGAAGCCCGACGAAGGGAACCTCGGGCTCCCTCGACCACACTTCTCTCGTTAATATTAATAGGATACAAGAGAGGTGGCTGGGGACGAGTCAGGTCTTGGCCACACAAACACTGCATAAATGTAGAAACCTCCCATAAAGAGATAACTTCCCTACGTATGGCCCTGGTCACACACGAACACTGTACTTGTAACTCCCCACAAGCAGACAGCTCTCCTTAGCTAACACAGTAACAATAGTCCCAAGGATGTCTGCTTCGGCAAGTTCGACTTTATATTATGTTTTAACAAGCACTTACACAGCTGCTTGTGCTAGTGCTGGAGCTGGTGGTGTTGGTTGAGATGTTTCCACTGTTCCTGGAGTCTAAATAAACAGATACACTAAAGTTATCTTGACTGTAATATTATTAACCAACTACCAGATTGAGAGATAAAGTGATCTGGGTTTGAGCACTGACCAGGGTCATTGTGTTGTTTGGCTAGAAAAGACAGTTTACTCTTACTAACAGTGACTCTCTCTATCCAGGGCCTGGTTGTTCAAAGAGTGGATAACGGTTATCCACCAGATAACAAAACAAACAAAGCTGCCCATTGGATAGTAATTTACACAGTGGATAGCATTATCCATCCTTTGAACAACTGAGGCCAGGAGTATCAATGGGCATTGGTGAACTGTTAGCGCAACCTGACAAAATGCAAAGAGGTAACCAGTGATGGGCTAGCATCCCCCATCCAGGGGGAGTAGCTAAACTCCTAGTTGTTTCGTGAAACCAGGAAAACCTTTGGCAGTGCCTTTTGCCCGAGTGCAGACTTTTCCTTTTTACTGTGGTTACTTACGGCAAAGGTGTAAGCAGTTCAGCCGAAAAAAATTAATTATCTCAGTCCACTATTAACTGTCACACAACAGAAACAGTGTGTCACCTGAGAGGTTATTAAGCCTGATTACTGTCACACAACAGATACAGTGTGTCACCTGAGAGGTAACCTGATCTACCGCTGCATGTGGGGTTTGCAGCTCACTGTCACACAGCAGGTGATACTGTTTTGGTACTACCTGGTCACACAAAAAAGTGTCACACAACAATACAATGATGTTGCATAACTCAGACTAATCTAGCGGAGGCACGGTATCTAATGGACTGGAGATCATAACAGTTCAAGCAAAGAAATTGTCCTTATGTTGCATCTACTCAGGTGTATAAACAGGTAAGTACTACCAATTGTTTGGGAAACAGGACAAAACTTGCTGAGTAACCTGCGATGGGAGACCCACTGGCCTACTGGTTAGCATGTTGGACTCCAGATCGAGTGGTCCAGGTTCGAGCCCTGGTCAGAGTCAGTGTTGTTTTTGGGCAAGACACTTTACACTCACAGTGCCTCTCTCCATCCAGAAGTATAAATGGTATGGGCAAATTGTCAGGGCAACCTGACAAAAATGCTGGGAGGCAACCTACGATATACTAGCATCTGATCCAGTTGGGGAGAAGTGAAACTCCTAGCCAAGGTTTCTTCATGCTATACAGACCAGAAGGATACGTCTGAGTACTGATAAGCCTCCTGAGGCTTCAAACAGAACTAACAAGTCTGTCAGACCCAACTGTCATGCAGTCCAATCTTTTTATGCATATTTAAGGAGGCTCTCATGATCAATAGATCTGACCTTTCAGTTTTTGACATGCAGTACAGTATCAACACTAATCTAGTCCAATGATGTTGACAAATAACTTTTAGTGTGTATGCCTTGTAAAGAAAGGATAAAGAACAAGAAAGAATAAAGAAAGCTATCATGATTTCATCTAACCACGATAAACAACAACCACATTTTTCATTCTAATAATGTTCTTTGTCGACATGAATGGGCTAGCTGTACATGTGGTGAGTAATGAGCTGAAAACAGGATGCTCTGAATTACTTCTAATGAACACAATTTTCTCACCTTGGTGGCATTTTCTGGCCAGGCCGTTGTCATCCTTCCAGTTTGTTCTGGTAATGGTTCCACAGCAGCAGGTCGCGGGGGTTCTGACGGAGCTTCTGATGGTTGAGCTGACTGCGATGTCACTTGTCTGAACCTCTCATATCGGTCGTATCGAATAAACACATTATTTAGATCATCATTAACACTTAAAAGCAAACCTGAGGGGATAAAAAAAAACAAGAAAAAATAATGTCAAAAGATATATTATGACGTTTCTTAAAACTTAGAACTATATTTTCAATTACTGTGCCTTTCAACAATACACAAACTTTGAAGTTAAAAACCCAACTAACAATTGCGTTTTTCATTACTGTCAATCATATTTACATTCATGACAGTTAACCAACAAACCCTGACAGGTAACTGAGGGTAATTAGGGAATTGAGAAAAACTGAGGGTAACTGATGGTAATGAGGGTAACTGATGGTAACGGAGGGTAACTGATGGTAACTGAGGATAATGAGGGTAATGAGGGTATAATTAGGGTAATGAGGGTAACGAGGGTAATGAGGGGAACTGAGGGTAATGAGGGTAACTGAGGGTAATGAGGGTAACTGAGGGTAATGAGGATAATGTGGGTAATGAGGGTAACTGAGGGTAATGAGAGTTACTGAGGGTAATGAGAGTTACTGAGGGTAACTGAGGGTAATGAGAGTTACTGAGGGTAATGAGGGTAACTGAGGGTAATGAGGGTAACTGAGGGTAAAAAGAGTAACTGAGGGTAACTGAAGGTAATGAGGGTAACTGAGGGCAATGAGGGTAACTGAGGGTAACTGAGGGTAATGAGGGGTAACTGAGGGTAACTGAGGGTAATGAGAGTTACTGAGGGTAATGAGGGTAACTGAGGGTAATGAGGGTAACTGAGGGTAAAAAGAGTAACTGAGGGTAACTGAAGGTAATGAGGGTAACTGAGGGTAATGAGGGTAACTGAGGGTAATGAGGGTAATGTGGGTAATGAGGGTAACTGAGGGTAACTGAGGGTAATGAGAGTAACTGAGGATAACTGAGAGTAATGAGGGTAACTGAGGGTAATAAGGGTAAATGAGGGTCATAAGGGTAACTGAGAGTAATAAGGGTAACTGAGGATAATGAGGGTCATAAGGGTACCTGAGAGTAATAAGGGTAACTGAGGGTAATGAGGGTCATAAGGGTACCTGAGAGTAATAAGGGTAACTGTTAGTGGAGGTTCGACTGTACTGAAAATTCCATCACACAACTCACCTACTACTTCCTCATTAGCTACCCTTTCAATCAGCTCTAAAACTCTCTGCTGCATGGCTCGACAAGTTCTATTTAATTCCTAAAAAAATGGAAAGATACCATTATACTGTAACAAAAATATTACATTGTGTAATGATTCTGAGTGGCTTCAATATTACTAACTGAATCCCTTCTCTTCTCCTTCCACAGATCAACTATTTCTTTGGATATAATAGACATTATTATTCCACTATTATGTCATTTCACCATATAAGGTCAAGAGAACAATGCAAAAGATGAGAGCGTATTACACTGTAGTGTCCTGGTGTAACCCATTTAGAACAGAGCGAATACGGAGGGGAAACGATCACAGGGAAATTTTTCACCGTCTCACAAATGCAATGTCATTTATACCCTAACTCAACGATACTTCTGGAAATTAAAGACCACGTTTCAATACAAAGTGACTGAAACGCCAGAAAATATTGCTGAAACATCATTTAAATCATCCTGACGGAAAGGCGAGGAGCTTAATAGAGAGGGGGGGGGGGGGGGGGGGCTTATTACAAAATTTGACTCCCAAAGGAGGGGCTTAATAGAGAGGAGGGCTAAATAGTGCTTAAAAATTACAGTATTTCTCATTGACACCTTGCCTGTAAAACTTATCTGGAACCCTGTTTACCTGTAATAGCTGCAAATCTCCTGCTTCCTCTTGTCCAGGCGTCATTACTGTTAACATTTCAGACATGACAGTGATGTTTCCATGGACAATATCAAGCTCTGAGCGTATTTTTCCCAGCTGTTCAGGTGTAGGTACCACAGGGCCACCAGGTGCAACCATTGCAGGTACAGGTTGGACTGCCTGTGGAGGAATAACTGGAGGCTGCAGAAAAAAAAAGAAGAATGATTGTTGTAATCAAACAAGGTACCATACATGCAGACTTTTCGCCAGCATCTGAAAAGTGAATTAATTTATACAACGAGAAAGATGTGTATCAGTAGTAGCTTGCGTCACTGGCCTATGGACTGTTGGAGTAGAAGAATGCAAATTAATTCAAATTACCTGGGAGGGAGGCGGCCTTGGTGGTATTGCTGTTGCAGGTCGCTCTGGTTGTGTCTGATGGCAAATAAAACATCTCCCATGATTACAGCAATAATTATTATTATTGAAATCATAGGAAACATCATAGGAAACATTTTATTTGCCATAATTAATAAAAATAATAATATTATTATATCAATAAATTATTGTTATTGACAGATATAATGACCAAGTCTCAAAAATAATTTATAAAATTACAATGCTGCAGACGATTCTCTCTGAGCGGACACTCTCGCAACCGGACAACTCTACTTACGGCTGCCTTGACAAAGCCACATTTGAACTCTAGCTCGTATAAACTCTGTACCGGACAAATCTGAGCCGGAAAAGTCTGAGCCAAGCAATTCCAAACTGGAAAAGTCCAAACCGGGTAAGTTCGAGATTGAAATGTCTGAACCGGAAAAGTCCAAGTCGGAAAAGTCCGAACCGGGCAAGTCTGAGTCTGGGCAACTGTAAAAGATCCTAACCATAAAAAGTCCCAACCGGGGCCTGATTGCAGGTTAAAATTAAACAAATTTGATTATTTAATGAAATACTGCTTCTTACCCTTTGTGGTGTGTAGATTGGAGATAGTGTATCTAAGTTTTTGGCAGGAAATTCCACACCTAAAGTCCAAAGAGAAAACACTAATAAGTACCATGTTATTACTAAGAAATGACACTTCAACAAAATTGGTCTTGATGTTCTCAAGACCTTAACCCTTTCAATCCCAGAATCGTGAAAGGTTAAAGGTGTCACTTCCTGTGGTTCAAATCCTTGCTTCTGTGGATGAAACCCTACTCACTGTGACCATTCAAATGATAGAAATTGAGCAGTGATTTCAGATGTCGCACTGTTTGTTATGCTGTACTACATGTAGTTGGCTCTAACTTTCAAGTCTATGGAACAAATCCTAGTGCATTTCATTAATTAAATGAAAACTAGAGTTTCATGAATTTTTTGCATTTTTTGTTTAATTTTGAATTATTGTGACACTCTTGAACAGGATTAAGGATTTAAGGGACTCAAGCTTAACAACAGAGTTGTTGCTAAGGATGCTATTTTATGGTTACAGTCGAACCCCTATTAAGCAGCGTACAGTGTATATACTGTAAATAAAACCCTGATTAAGCGGCCAACCCCTATTAAGCAGCCACTTGCCATTTCCCTGAGGGTGGCCGCTTAAATAGGGGTTCGACTGTAGTAGTTTTTGCATGTTGAGTACTACTAATTAACAAAACATTCAAACCTTGTGCTCTGAGTGAATCGTATGTCTCCAGCACATAAGATAGATCAGGTGACCCGCGGAAGGCATCGGCCCAGTCTTGGATCAGAGAAAGAATTTTATCCAGGACAACTTGTGGAGGATTACTCTGAAAATCGGAAAGCAAATGTACCGGTATGTGCGAACTACTGTAATGCAAACACATTATGCAAGCGCAAGGAATGGAAACGTTTCCAATCATTCTCTTGCGCTTCAGTGCTTGTGACGTGAAATTTGAACTGGGAAAATGGAAGTGCATTTCATAACGCTTGTTGCAACAAGCTAATTAAAGTGAGATTTTGTGATGCTTACATGAAGTTTACCCTAACGCAATTTTATCACAAAATGTCAGCTTAGGGTCAATTTCAAGTTCCTCAAGGCCTGAAGATGGGCAGTAAAACAGCTTGAAATGTTGCTAAGTTAATTGAATGTTACAAAAGACATTGAACATTTTATCACGTAAAGGCCTACCTTTGGATTTAAAATTTTTACAAGTTCATCAATTAATTCCTTCTTGGCAAGGAGCATATGGAATCTATGGCCACAGTTTTTGACACAAGTCTCAAGCACCTACCAAAACAGGGTTGGAAATATGGTTCAATGGTTAGTACTTTCCTTGTAAAGAACTATAACTTGAAGTTGGAGACCCTCCCAGGAATATTGGAAAAATACTGTGCAAAGCAAATGTTTGGACCCACCTAAAGAAAATGCTGGGGGGGGGGGGGGGGGGGGGGGAAGCCTGTGATGCACTAGTATTCCATCCAGGCCCCAGGGAGTAGCAGACTCCTAGCCGCTTCATGCTACGGAAACCAGAATCAG